ATATTATCCGCAGTCTTTGACATTACAGACACGAATCATTGGTCCATTCCTATCAATAGTTATGTTCTCTTGCAGTAAAAATATGGGCCCACGACTTACAATAATCTAGCAGTTTTAAAACCAGTACACACCGGCGTGTACTCGAGCGCAATTTGTAATGAGGTCGCTTGGTCCCGTCTTCATTAGCCAAGTCGGAATAGAACAGTAGGAGGTTAAACCCCATTTCATTTCATTTCCGGTGCCTTGGTAAATATGGGACGACATACTCGTCAGTGTCTAAGTGAAATCTCAAATCCAGCACATCATGAATGGTAAAATGGGCTTTGATATACTATTCAAAAAAAGTAGGGGATATTTGATTTTGGGGGCATAATACTAAAATATGCAAATGACTACGAAAAAAGTCACTATAGAACCTAACAGAAGAAACATTTCCAGTTACATGTGACGCCCAAACGCACCAATAGCTACCGCATGGAATGCAGGTGATGCTTGGGATCATCATGGGGGTCCAACCCAAGATTTGCACGACTCTGACTTTGAATGTTACAGTCATTGTGGCATTGAATTCCAGGGTGGAAACATCAGTTTAATTGTTTTAGTGACCAGAAAACAAATTTTGATATGCGTCGGCTTACCCAAAATGAAAGGTTACGTGTCCTTGGCATGCTACAGATCGGCACAACACAGGCGGTTGTGGCGCGGACGATGAATGTTTCTCAGTCTGTCATAAGCAGGCTATGGTCCAGATACCGTGATACACAATCTGTACAGGACAGACCACGCTCAGGTCGACCAAGGGCGACAACTCAAGCCCAGGATCGATTTATCCGTACCTTGGCCTTGAGAAATCGTGTCATCACAGCAAATCAGATCAGCGCTCGTCTTCAAACAGACACTGGTGTGAGAGTGAGTGGCCAGACGATTCGGAATCGACTGCATAGGGGTCACCTTCGCGCCCGACGTCCTCGCGTGATCCCTTGTTTGAGAGATCATCACATTCAGGCAAGACGTCGTTGGTGTTGGGATCGTCAACACTGGGATAATCGACGCTGGAGCAATGTGATGTTTTCAGATGAGTCAAGGTTCACTGTTGATTTTTTTGGACAGACGTAGGAGGGTGTGGCGTCGTCGAAACGAGCGCTTCCAAGACGTTAACGTCATCAGACATGATCGATTTGGGGGTGGTTCTGTTATGGTGTGGGGAGGCATCACTGTTGCTGGAAGAACGGCTTTACATGTTGTTGCAGGGCGTGTTACAGGCCAGTACTACCAGGACAACATCTTGGCAGTCCATGTTGTGCCGTTCGCACGACGTCATGGCCGCCGTTTCATCTTCCAGGATGACAACGCAAGATGTCACAGGGCCAGGATCGTTACAGGTTACCTCCAACAACAGAACATCACCACATTACCTTGGCCAGCACTGAGTCCCGACCTCTCCCCCATCGAGCATGTCTGGAACATGCTTGGACAGAGGTTACGTCAACGTCAACAACGTCCTGCCAATGTCCAAGAACTTGCTGCTGCGTTGCAACAGGAATGGGACAATCTGGACCAAAATGACCTTAGACGTCTCATTAGGAGTATGCCACGTCGGATCAATGCTTGTTTGGCAAACAGAGGAGGATTTACCCGTTGTGATGCTGTGGTAATTTTGCTGTTTGACCCCGGGTATCATTTTACCCTTATAATGGTCAGTCTGTGCCTTACTTAGTCTAACGATCATTTGGAATAAATCGATGAATGTGAACTTCATTTCATTTTGTCATTTGTTTCTTCGTCAGTTTCATTAGGTGACTTTAATAACACTTAAAAATCAAATATCCCCTACTTTTTTTGAATAGTATATATAGAGCGATTAGGCGATGTTGTCCGTGGGGCCACTAAAGAAGTTGATGTTGTCACATAGGTTGAGGACCCGGTTTAATCTGGTTGAATTGGTAAGATTTACACGCGCTAACTTTGTACATAAGCCAGCAACATCAGACTATCCTCTTTAATGCTCCCGTCAATTTTTGCAAAATCTTCTGGCGTCCACAAGACCTTGTTTATAATATATTTTACCAACAGCAGCATTTTATGCTTGACGAATTTACCTGCCTGAATTACCATAGAGGTATCCTACGGAATCCATAAATCTATTAGGGTGCAGGAGGACCACACTACACGCAAAACAAAACCGACAATGTCTACGGTGTAATTACTGCAACAGACCTGCTTAGACGACTAGGGCATACTGTTCGTATTCAAAACTCGCTACCGTTAAGTCACGTTATCACGATGTGTCAGTGGTGATGCCTGTGGGGCTGAAAAAGTAATAGTTCAATTAATCAATTGTCGGTGCCGCAACTACCCCCCAGGAAAATAGCGACGAGACGTTAAACTCTAGTATTAGATGGCTGGTTATTACTTCCGTGTATGGTTTACACACGTATTTCTATATTCTAATTATATATATTTTATCAATAACTAATAAAAGTCTAATTTTATGGATGTTAGGATATGATTTAGATATACGATATATGGATAGTATAATTATCTATATCATAATCTAAAATGGATAATCTAAAATTAATGTATTGAAAATTTCATTAAAATTAACTTATTCTGAGCGGCTTTATCACGTAATGAAGTTTTGAAAAGATGTGGCATAGATTGTTTATTAATCATAGCAAAGTTACTGGTTAATCAAGACCCAGTCTCGCTTCTCCATTTCCAAATCAAATCATTAAATGGCGATCGTATTGCAATCGGTTTACATCTCCGCCATCCGATGGGCTAACGAGTCCATTATAGGCTTGCCACGTGAATAAATGTCTAAATAATAATTTATATAACAGTCATTTGAAGCCAAATGAAACCTGCAATAGGCAGATTTAGCTCTTTAAAACTTAACAATAACTCGACCCGAATCATAAATTGGAATGGTGCCGAATGTATTGTAAACACAACACGTCAGTCATTTTGAATAAAAAAATATATGGTACCTTTTTTATTTCTATGCATACGTGTGCAATACGATGGGGGATACTTTCCGCATGGTTACTTCGCATGAAGTCATTTTAAGTGACCGTAACGGTCTCGATTGCCCGCCTGTACTGACAAGGAGTAGTAAGTATGATCGCCTGTCCAACCTTAGAACATCCATCTTCTTGTATTGTCTGCGATCTAACTCTAGGTGGAGGCGGACAAACCCAAAACACACGTCATACACACCTCACCTTCTCGTAGCCCTGAGAATTTCTTCATCATATTATAGGGATGGGAGTGGTTTAATAGATTTAATTGCACCTTTAAATTTTTCATTCTAATATATTATTGGTAATTGAGTGAACACATTTCAAAATGTAGGCGACAACCAAATCAATCCTACGAAATTCGCGAACACTGTAGTAAACATTAGAAACAAAAGTCAGTGCTTTGGCCACTCGACTATCGCTAAAGCTTCCATACTGCTTGAAACACATTTTAGGGTTAATAATTGAATGAAAGTTTAACAGACCTGTGGGTAAAGTGTACGCATTAGACCGCTCAGCCTCTAACCCCCGATAACAATAGATTTACTTGAAGCGGTATACTTAAATACAACCACACAAACATTTTATTTGTAAATACTCCACGGATTCAGCTATGTGTTTTTTTACTGCGAGAACTTCGCTTTTCCACAGTTTTTTTTTCAATCCGCTGCGATGTCATCAAACAGCTGGACCTCTTGTTTTAACTTGTTTTCATTATGACAAAGTGAGAAGATGACCTATCCTCTCTTCTCACGACAGCGATTTTAAAACTGTGTTTTAAAGTGACTTTTAGATATACAAGAACTTTTTATTTTTTAGTGTTTCTACCTATCTTCTATATATTACTCATTCATAATATGTAAATAACTTAATTAAATCTAAGTGTCCACAATATCATGCTTGATGTATTGGACGTTAAATTTGTAATAAACAACAACAACATACAACAGGTCAAAAATAAACGGTAAACAAGTATAATATATGGTTACTTCGCATAAATTCGTTTTTAGTGACCATAGCGGCCTAAAATCTAAAAACTTTTTACTACATACATTGTTTCAATGGCGTTTAGTAATTGAACTGGAATGTATAGGTAACAATTACATGTATATGGAATACAATTACTGCTTATTACTGAGCGACGCAATCTGATTAAAAACGGATCCTATTTCGTTTCGTTTTTTATAGTTCAAAATTTTGTTTTACATGTCTTCACAGCACTAGGATCTGGAAGAGTTGTAATATAACAGGCGTTCTAGTCGATGTGAGGAATTAGCCAATTAAACGGTCTGTTACGGCGAGTTCTTGACGTGCTCTGCACGGAACTGTGGGTAACCCATAGAAACGTCAACGCTGATTGATTAATCAATTTCTGACGTCATAGGGTCAAAAGCCGTTTTATAACACCTAACGCGTAGTGTAAGCCATCGAAAGTATCAAAAACGAAACGAAATATAGATCTGTATTTTAATCAGATTGTGAGCAATTGTGTACATACTATGTATATATTGTCTTGTTATATTTTCATAGTTGATCATTGTTTGATAATGACTAGAGAAGCCTAGTCGAAACGTCGCTCGGTAATAACTAATAGCAGTAATTGTCTTACCACTTCTTGAGAAAGTGGGAGATAAGCGATTAAAACTAACAATAGGATTAGGATAAATGTTTACAGGTACTTTAATCCGATTATACCCAATTATCTCTAGCCTACAGTTTAAAAGAATTTATTTATTTGCTGTATATTATATTATAATAAATATTTATAATACATATTGCACATATATTATATGCAAATACGCCCATTTAGAAACAAAGTCCACATCATTTAATTGGCTTATTATAAAACAACAGACATTCCTCAAAGAAAGCCAACGGATTTCACCCTACGCCCCTTTTCTGATCAGTTCAAGCTTGGTGAGTGAAGGAATGAATAATTGAACGAATGAGTGAAGGCTAAGGAATGAATGAGTGAATTACCTTTATATTTTGATAGTCGACAATATTGAAAACTGCCAGTGTTCTTGAAAATCATGACGTAGTAAAAATCTGCTATAACTTTAAACTCAGGTCTGTTTCATCTTAATCTTGTTGATGAAATGTCTCCATTTTATCATCTTAAAACAGGAGTTTATAATAAAATCCTCACCAGTGACTAAGAGAGCGATATGTAAATTATAGGGCTGTCACACAATACATGTACATCGTCTCAGCTGACCATCCTTCATTGAGAACACGCACAATACAATACAAAACTGCACAAATTTCTAGCGATGTACTTTGCCGTTTTTGAAAAAAATATATAATAATTCAAAAAATGTTAATTGACCTACTGGAAACTCTGTGGTTATGGTGACTAGGGAAACTGAGTACCTATTAAAACTATTCTAAATAGAGCGTGATAAAACATGCCTTGGCTATACAAAGGTAGTTTCGGTGGATGATCATCCTGTGCTGTATCATGGCCGTTATGCTTCGATGTGTATATCATAACATTAGGCCGATGTGATGGATGTGGAAACGCGACTGGGTATTCTTACTGTTTCTAGAACCATGGCTTCCAAATCCAGGAATTCACAAATTAATTCCACTATGCAGATTTTTCGCATGGCGCCGGAAATATTGTACATTTTCTAAAACACCTGTTACCACTTCTAAATCCAGGAATTTACAAAGTTAACGCAATTAGTTCCAGTTTGCAGGTTTTTCACACAATGCAGCATATGTTTATTGGTTCTAGAACACATGATGCCATTTGTTCTACTCTGAATATTTCTTACACGACATGTTTACCGTTTCTAGCACTCACTGATACCACTTCCAATTTGAGGATTTTACAAATTGTTGTAGCACTTATATTTTTTCTTCACATGGTGCGACATATCGTCTCTCTTAACCACAAGAGACGCCAATGGCAAGTCGTCCATGGCTGACAATGCAACATTCCAACCGCCATTACACTAAGTACATATTAATCTAAATAGGTCAGTTCATGATGACACCCGTGGTTTTAACCTGTCAATATAAAAACAATAGCATGAATAAAAATAAAGACATAAGGGAAACTCTATGGATTGTTTATCGAGTATTCTTATTCTGAATAGGCAATGTGATGTTAGCTCGATATTCGTTTTTCGTTTCGTTTTTCGATATTGGCGAATAAAGAAAAACAAGGAACTTGTTTTTTGATATTGGCGAATAACGACAAACAATCTACTCGTTTGCCTTCTGAATAGGCATCATCATTATCCCAAAGAAGACGAATTTAATTATTTTTGTTAATAATAGCATATTCAAAATAACCGTAGACTCACTATTATTAACGAATACCGCAGTAGGTCACTACTGGCAGATATAACTATGCAAAATTCTAATGTATTCTACTCCAACAATATGTAACAACTATTTATTTCATGAAGAGATCGCTTTGTTTTGAAAGGAATTTCTAAACTTCTTTCTCTTTAATTAATATACCAAGATTGCCATTTCTTAAAAGTATAGTTGATCACATGTTGTGCAATCTATATTAATTTTATCATAACCACTTCAGCTAATGTCGTAATAATATTGGGTGATTTATGCTATTTTATCATAACCACTACAGCTAATGTTGTAACAATATTGGGTGATTTATGCTATTATGGATATTATTGTTAGGCTGTAATAATATTATGTCCTTGACCAATTATTGGTTTCAAATTCAGAAACTAGTTAGATATCGTCACGTAATCCAAAGGAAATAGAAGAATAACATAATATCAGATTTAGTGTCAAGGCTAGTTTGTAATGCTCAGGGCCCTTATTCACGAAAACTTAAACTAGGTTACAACCGAAATTTTAAGAAATACTGCAACTTCATTGGATATATGCAAATTGATTTTACTGGTCAGCCAATCGAATTGCAGTATTTCTTAAAATTTCGATTGTATCTTAGTTTAAGTTTTCGTGAATAAGGGCCCAGAACACTTATGAGGGTGGTTCACGACGTCATGGGGCATAAATAACTAATCACAAAATTAATTACACGGATTTGGCCAATTGAATAAATAATAGCGGAGATCTTGGCATATATAAAGAATTGGACTTAGGCTCTGGGGGCAGACATCATGTAGATTCTTTAGGGATCAGACACGCAATGTGTTCTTTGGGAGATACCGTTGAGCTTCAAGAAACACCATGTGGAGTCAGTAGACCCCGTTGATTCGTGGGGAGCCATATGATGTAGGTAGGGTCCGTCAGTAAAGTCATTCTGCGAGTTAGTGGAGTTACCATTGTTTAAACCTTAATTTGTAATCATGTACCCACTGCTTGACATAAAATGTCGAAACGAAACTGTTGTATTCTTGTTACTGAATGTTAAAAAACCGTTTCAGCTGCTGATGAAAATACGGACAAAACAAAAGAAGTTCTAACTGAATAGAATTACAAAATATACGCCAGAGTTAATGTACAGTAGACGATTAGATCACAGGCTAACAAGATCTGTGACAAAGAATATAATTTTATATCGGATGTGGTAAGCTTTTTGGTCGGTTTCACTTTCCATACAACGTGTATTGCTACAATGTTTTGAGATTATAGCCCGATTATCGCCAGTAAGCCATTAATTTTGACCCTCTAACATAATGCAGTTGCAATTCGTTTTGAAATCTGGGATATAATTTATTTACTTGCAAGATGGTGTTTAGATCACGTGGTCTTATTGACAAATCAAAGTGACGGTATTGTTATGTAGGACGTTGTTTCGGGGCGAATTCTTTGAATTATCAAACTGCATTTAAGAGTGATGCCCTTTAGTTTTAAAGGGCTAATCCCGATATTTTTTGGAGAATAAAACTGCTTAATTTTGTGCAAAAACCCCTTAAAATCCTCTATTTGTGAGACCGGTGTATTATGTGGTGTCTTGATAAAACCAGACTTTTATTTTATAAAAATAATGTGTAGGTGAAATTTACCTTTCGTTATCAAGTAGAGCACATGGGTCATTCACTATATAACCCTCTCAAGGAACGGGAATCGATTATCAGGTCACCCAACGAAAAGACTGACCCGAAATCTTAAAAGGGTTGCGTGTCCGGATAGGCAGTTTTGACGTTCACGTCCAAACGACTCAATATTTAGAGCTGGAATTTTGAGAGACGGTAAATACACCATTCCTCTATATCTTGGGACTTAAATTTCATACGTACACCGACTTTTATTTTTGAGACCCTGTTGAAATAGGGATAGTCCCTTTTAAGTTATGTCATGACTGGTTGATATGCATATAACTGCCAAGGGCAGAACACGAGGGCCACGGTGGCTAAGTGAGTAAACTGCCGAATCACTAACCTGGAGGTTCTGTGTTCGATCCGAGTTTTAGTCGAGAAAGAACCTTGGGATTTTTCAGCGTGGTTTCAGCACGGAAGTTCTCGCAAGTGATGGGGTGAAAAACCCGGGTACCATGTACACGTAGGCGTGCACGTAAAAGAACAGTGCAGAACAGTAGTACGCTAAACCGCATTTTATTTCATTAGCACAGCACGGTTTTGTAGGTTACCTTAAAATATTGTGTACAAATCAGAAAATTAAACGAAACGTAATTAATCTAGCGTAAGTTACAGCGATTTCGACCTTCGTTGATACAATCCAATAATAATCCGGGTACATCAAATGAAATATATTATCTGTCTATTGTTTGACAATACTTGACTGCATACTTAACCCGCATTGTGATGACACCATCTGGCTATCATGTGACAACATCCGTTTACAATGACAGTGTGACAGGTTCTGTCAAATAGATTATTGATTTACATGCAAGATAATATATAATAAAATATTTGTTGACATTTTGACAATGCTACACAATTTTAGGAGAGACAGTAAACTTTAAATACCACAATAAAGTTAAAGAGACAACCAGACGAATATGACATCATCACAAATATGTCCGAGATTTGAGTAAAGAATTTTCGTTCGGCGCAAGATTCAGCGACTGTCAAATTTACCGCTTCCAATGCATCCAAGCGTAATATTTAATTTATGTCAGCACAAAAAGCAACGAGATTTTATTAAGAGGCCACTCCCGTTAAGCGGTCAATTGTGAAAATTCCCTTGGGTGGCTGCTTAATGCAGATTCTACTGTAACGTCACAAATTGGTTCAGAGGGTTGAAAAGTGCGTATTTACATTGAATAAAAGCGTTTCTTTTTTTTTCTTATTAAAAATAAATGCTTATCGTATCATTTAATCCGATTTTAATCAGAAAATATGGCTCTATGAATTTGAATATGAAATCTTTTACACTCTTATGTTCATAATCTATTAGCAATATTTTAAATGGTGGCTTAACGTCTATAATATGTACGTCTTTTAAAACTAGCAGTCTTCTTTTATAAATAGCTAATCTTACTGTACACAAAATAATATTGCATAACTCTGGAATTAGACGTTTAAAATGTCAAATGTTGACATCCAATGACTAAAAGTTCAATATCTTCTTGCATTATTTTTCAAACCCGGCAATATTGGTCACTTACTTTACCTATCTTAATAGTCGGGCAGAACTATGGCTGAACCTTGAAATTGTATACACAGTGTTTTATGACTGATTTTAGTAGCCTAGGGTGTCCTCTTTCAGAATCTGCCGGATGAACCTCGGTCACCCCTGAGCGTTTTGAGAAATTCAAGATGGCGTCCAAGATGGCTGCCATTTCAAATAATCCCCTATAACTCCAATAGTATTTAAACTAGGATAATATTTTTTGTGTCTAACCGTATGTTTTCGGAGTCAAGGAATACTCTGAAAGCATTCATAATGTTGTGGAGTGATTAGATGATAGTAAAATCCAAAATGGCGGCTAATATGGCCCCTTAACCCTTTAGCGGCGATTGGGGGCGATTATGTCACCAAACCTAACTATATCTAGAGAGAAGCTATATATTTCAGGACATAGGTGCATAAGACGGATACGATGACACCACATACATGGCTACCAGTGGTTCCAGGAAAGCATGGACCTCCCCTGAAAAAGGGGTAAAAGCTATTTTTTGAACATTTACGAAAAAAACAACCGAATTCTACCCGCAAAAGACGAAAATGACTCCCCAAAATAGGTAATATTATCATTCAGTTTAACCCTATAGTCGTGTTTCCGGCTGCTACATGGGGCGGCACAAGCGCAAAATAATGTACATTTTAAGCCATCCCGCGTACATGGGTTGTCACTCTTGCACCCGCATCTGATGAGCCGCATGACAGACTCCGGAGCAAGTTGATTATCAACTGGAAGGGTGACCGGTTGTAATGTTTTCAATTTAGTGTCCTTCACCCAGCCATACAGTTCCGGATCAAGTTCAGGTGGATTACGATCTTCCAATGAACGCCACACAATTGCATGGTGATGAGCTCTTTCTACATTCTCTGCAAATGCATCATTCTTTGGAGCAAGATGCCATTTTGAATTTCTCAAAACGCTCAAGAGTGACAGAGGTTCACCCGGCAGATTCTGAAAGAGGACACCCTGGGCTACTAAAATCAATCTTAAAACAAAACTTTGTATACAATTTACAGGTTCGCTCGAATTACTGGGTTTGGCGACCGGACTATAAATAGTTTTGTCTTTGACCATAAAATAATTATGTACAATCTAATAATCTAAGGCAATACATTTAGTGTAGCATGCAACGTCTAGATGTTGCAATCGTTTATTCGGGAACATGGGCTAGCCTACACCGACCAGTTTCTACGGCAAAGGATATTTGTCAACCCACATTTTTCAAGCGATCCTGTTGATGTGTGTACTCATCTCATTTATCACTCACTGGTCACCTGACACCATTACATTCATCTCCCCACAACTGAAAGTTTGCATTCTTAAAAATAGAGCTAAGCGAGTAGTCTCCAGCGATGTATATTTCATTCGTTAGGGGTAGGTATCTAGTAGGTATATTCCCGCAGATATACTAGAAAAAATTACTAGGTATACAGCAATTCCTGAAAATTTCCAACTGGCGGGAAGAGAACATAATACT